CATACATTTTTTATTCAACAACCAGCGCCGTACTAAACCTCGTATTCTGCGGGCCCTCGGGCGCTGGAATGCTGTCTTTGCATGAAAATTTGACTTTCCGATAGCTCGGGTCTTTCGGACCCCACCGGAGTCCCGACCACACACGCGCCTGCCACGCGCAAGAATGAGGAAATTTCTATTTTTGCACCTTATGCAAATTACACACAAAAATAAATCAAACCGGATTGAACTTTGTAATCTTGTCTTTTAGCAAAATTCTGAAAACACCATCGGAAAGAGGAGGGTCGATTCCCCCTAGTGACGGAGAATTAAGGCATTTTATGAACAGGAAGGCCCTCAAATCGGGCTTCGAAAGTGACACCTACAGACACACCCATACAGACGCGCCAAAATTATATAAGGTAGGATTGGCTAGTATTTATTGGGCTAAAGTAAAAAACATTGCTACGATGGAAAAGCCGGGGTAAATGGGACAGTAATTTTGTGATTAATTTTGTGTGATGTGACCAAGACAAACAAAAAAATAGGAAATGCGTAAACTGCTGGTGTTCCGTCGGTCTATCGTTGTGTCAGGTCGTCGCCATTAAAGTACCCCATCAGTTCGCTTCGTCGACACGTCAGGGGATGCGTGCCTGGAAAGTAGCGCATTTTTGCTAGTCGGGTATTATTACGTGGTAAAGGCAATAAATACAGGGAGAAAGAGAGCGATTTCTACCTGTATCATGGAAGCAAACGATGAGCCCGATTCCTGGGTGCTCTCCAGATAGACACCGACGTCGGTGGTCGGGTTCGTGGCCGCGATTGTCTTGTCCTGTAAAAGTTCTTTTTATGCTGATGGGAGCAGAGTACAGGGAGAGAGAGAGAGAGACAAAATGAAAGCGAGAGAGAAAGACAGAGAGAGAGAGAGAGAGCGAGATAGAGCGAGAGAGATAGAGATAGATAGAGAGAGAGAGAGAGAGAGAGAGAGAGAGAGAGAGAGAGAGAGGCGAAGTTCAAACATCCCCTGACCTCCCAAACAATTTCGATGACGTCGTCCGGCTCGTATCCAACTTCTCTCAACTGTCGCTCGTTCTTCAGTACCTGAGTAACTGAACATTAAATCGTTTTTGTAAAATTCCAACCTTTCCACGAAGCCGCAGCCGAATGGAGCCATGCGGATGGCCGGAGGGATCCATATCGCTGATCATCCTCTGGATGGCGGAGATCTGTAAGAACGGAGGTTCAATGACTCACTGTAAAGTGACTCACTCACTGTAGTGTTTTTCCTATATGATGGGGAGAGACACGCCCACGCGGAGGAACAGGCCCCGGGAGGACCCCTGCGGGGGCCTCCCCACTTCTTGCCCGGTTCTCACCTAGTTCTAGCGAGTCTAGGAATCGTACGCTAGATCTAAGCCTTTTAACTAGAGAACTCAGAGGAGGGACCGGAGGCCGAAGGGCCGATGGTCCTGAATCTTTTAGATTGACTTTTAGATCTTTATGATCTCTTATTTTAAATTATTGGGCCGAAAGCGCCATCAGGCCACTTATCCACACATTAAAGGGATGCCGACGGCATAATCAATCGGTTACGCGCTGGAAAGAAAATGTCTCTGCGCCTCTCCCCTGGGCGCCCTCTCTCCCCTGTTGGCTACTTGCCAATTTGTTGATGGGGGGGATCGACACATGCCGTCGGCAGCCCTTTAATATCTGTCTTCTCCTTCAGCTTCCCGAAACTAGTCTAGGGTGCCAATTTACCATTAAATGGGTAAAGTTATTAATAGACGTAGTTAATTACAGAGATGCAACCTTAGCACGGAGTTCAGATAAGTTCAGTATAATTAGTATGCTGACTTAGAAGGTAAATCGTAGCCACCCTAATGGGAATATCATATCTAGCCGTGATCCCTCATAGAGAAATCACCTAGATTATGACAGTTTTTACTCAGGCTAACTTTTTAGAATGGGACCAAGCCTATCTTGTGCAGAATTTTTCGCTGATTCAGAATCTGGTTTCCAAATTTGCTGCCGACCTTTATTTAAAAAGTTATTCGACATTTAGGCTAAAAAAATTGACTAAATCTGGATTTTTTTGTGTGATTTTGTAAGTTGTCGTCACCTCCGACGTTAAAACTGGCTCGGTAATGGTTTTAGAGGTCAAAGCACGATTTTATGCAAAAAATCATGTGTTTTTGTGCAAAAAGCAAAAGAAATTGTGCAGGGCGGGGATCGAACCGCCGCCCTGTGCCTGGCAAGCGAACAGCATACCAATGCACCATGGTGCCAACCGGCAAGGGGGCTTCGGGAGGGTAGATAAGGGGCACAACACCACCAGGACCCAGACATGGAATAGTGGGCCAGCATCCGAATTTATGCCGTTTTTAAGCTTAATTTAGACCAAAAATGACTTTTCAGCGCGAAGTCCGCAGCAAATTTGGAAAAGGATTCGGAATCAGCAAAAAATTCTGAACAAGATAGGCTTGGTCCCATCCTAAAACGCCAGCCTGAGTAAAAACACTTTACAGTCAGACTTGTCGACACTTGGGAGCGAATTTTCGATAATGGTTAGAAGGGATACCGAGAAGCCATCTTGAACTTCCATTTGGAAGAACTCGTCGTTGGTGGAGCAGAAGGTGACCAAGATGAACGCTTCTGGAAATATTGATTGAATAAAAAGAGTGGCAAGAAAGCAGTGGCAGAGAGGGAGAGAGAGGGAGAGAGCGAGAGAGAGAGAGAGAGAGAGAGAGAGAGAGAGAGAGAGAGAGAGACTAACAGAGAAATACAGAGAGTGCGAGAGACGCAGATATTCTGAGAGAAAGCGAGCGAAACCCACCAGGTTGGCGCGGCTGGTTCGGAGCGGCCTGGGGCGAAAACTCGTGCGGGGTGGTCTGGCGGAGACTGGCCAATGCTTGGACACGGTGACCTGAAATGTCAAACCTTCAGTGAGTTTTGACTAGAGAGAGATAGAGCGCGAGAGATAGAAAGAGAGGGCGAGAGCGATAGAGAGAGAGAGAGAGAGAGAGAGAGAGAGAGGGAGAGAGAGGGCGAGATATGGCGCGAGAGATAGATATAGAGGGCGAGAGAGAGATAGCTAGAGTGAGATAAAGAGAGAGAGAGAAACGATACCGGTTCTCGTAGACAACCATATCTAGTGTCCCCTGGCTCGCCATCTCAGTCCCGGATGTCTGCTGGGTCTTGAAACGGAGATGGAAAGTAAGAATAAATTCCCTACTTCCTGGATTGTGAAATCCAAAAGTGTACGGTCGGGTCCTGCCTGCACATCGCGGGACCTCCCGTTTTTCGGTGTTGACGTTGCGCCCTAACAAAGCGTGCTTGCGAGCGGTTACGGCATTTTTGCGTAGTGCCCAATTAAGTATTCGAAAGTTCTGGACTGTTAGCGGGGGGGGGGGGAGAACCACTTTCGGTTGTTCCACCTATACTTGCGTGTTGATATTATATGAGCTTTTTAGAGTGTTTTAGCAGCTTTTGATTGCTAGAAAGTTATAAAAATATCTTTGAAAGCTTGAAAATTCGAAAACTTTGACCTTTTTTGGGATTTTTCATACATTTTGACCAAAAGGCCATGCATTTTCGAAAATTTTTATTATTTCTTGGATTTATTTTATGATTTGGTTTCTCCCACGCTAACTTTCCAGAACCCGAAGGCTTACTGGTTCAAATGGCTCGGTGATGTCGTGCGAAGCAGGGCGAGACGGTCGGTGGTCGGTAGACGAAGGATTGGCCGATGACACATGCAGTTGGACCGGCACATCTCTTTCCTGGAATAACCGGCATCCGAGGAGTGAAACATTCGCATACCTTCATGAAAACGACGACCACAGCAGTGTCTTCCTTGTAGCCACAACCACCGAACATCTCAGCGTCGTTTTGAAGCGCCTGGGAAATACGAACTACTTCGTTTTTTTTTTGTAAAATTCAGACCTGCCCTTCGTAGATGAGCATCATCGGCGCGTTGGGTCGCCCCGGTAAGTTTCGGACGCATTCCTTGACATGACCGATCTGTAAAGGAGCCATTACTGCGCCGATTACTGTCCCAAATAGCCTTGATACGCCGTAAAAATTCAAAACGGGTACCGTATCAGTTGGCAGTACACGCATCAGCCAGCGGTCGCCGAGAGACTTGAACTTCATCTGCACGGCTCGGTCATCGGCTAAAAATGTCGGAAATCATGGGCGGAGCGGAGAGAGAGAAAGAGAGAGAGAGAGAGAGAGGGGGGAGAGAGGAGAGAGAGAGAGAGAGAGAGGAGAGAGAGCGAGAGAGAGGAGAGAGAGTGTGAGAGAGTGGGAGAGAGGAGAGAGAGTGTGAGAAAGTGGGAGAGAGGGGGGAGAGAAGCAGAGAGAATGAGAAATCGGCTAAAAATGTCGGAAATCAATGGGCGGAGCGGAGAGAGAGAGAAGCAGAGAGATCAAGGCAGCGATGAAACCAAGAGCCTTGACGCCATGTGCAACGCGAGCCGCCCCCTCACTGGCGGGGCGCTGACCGGCGGAGATGGTAGTGGTTGGCGAGGCCGAGCTCGCTCCGACGGACCCGGCATTCTGGTGCAGCCACGGGAAAATGCGTGGCATCTGAACGGATACGGAAAATTGTTTGGCAGAACCCACTTTTTTGTATAAGTCTAGAAATGCCTAGTAAGTTAATGGAAAGTGTTTTTTATAGTGTTTTCAGAAATATTTACATGATTTAAGCTTAAAAAAAGTAAAAATCCTACTATATATAAAAAAATAGTGTCTGTGTGTGTGAGTATGATTAGATGCCACTTTGCATGCAGCTTCCGTCAGCGTGTTCCAGTAGTATCTCACTGTTCCATCAGTAGTTAGGGGTATGTTTTATACCTCATTAGGTGTGTAATGTCCAGTGGGATTCCTTACACTAATAGCATTTTCAAAAATTAGCTGTTTTCGACGTTAAAATTAAGTTTTTGGAAAAATCGAGCACCTTCTTTGTTAGGAAACAATTAGCATAGACCGGAAGTCACGGTAGCCTAAATAAGGCAAGAGGGGGTAGCGTTTCTCATTTTTTGTCATCGAAAACCGTGAGAATTATGCAAAGTGAAGAATATCATGGGATCAGACGGGGCCAGGGTTGAAAAGCCGCGAAGCGGCTTTTCAACCCTGGTATATAGTTAAGAAATTAAAAAATTAAAAATTTTGGTCAAAAATCGGCCTTTTTCGTCGAAAAATCTATTTTTTTTATTATTTTATAAAAATTTGTAAGGTTTTGACGCTTAGGAATAGGAAAAAGCCAATAAGAAACGATTCCACTATTATATCTGCAGAAGAGATTCCAAGGAAAAAATTTTTGGTAAATACCGGTAAGGACATTTTCCGCTCCGGCAATCCCCAGACGTGGGTGTTGTGGCCCAGCCCTCAGAGACGATGTTGTTAACACTTTGTTCCCAAGCGACACCTCTTCTTCGGTCGGTTTGCGCTAGAGTGACCATTGTTAATTCGAGTTTATCTAAGCCCACACTCACCTGGCTGTCAAGTTGTTCCGCCTTCGAAACTCTGGCCATGTGAGCGGGCGGATTTTCTCGGAATTCAAGTCGTCTTGTCTTGGCGTAAAAGATGAGCATCTGCAAAGGTAAGCCGCTTATGGATATTTTAAGCATATAACGCTTGTTTGAGCATAGCTCAGACCTAGGCTTAGCTTAGGCTTATCTTAGGCTTAGCTGAAGCTTAGCTTAGACTTAGCTTAAGCTTAGCTTAGGCTTAAGCTTTAAGCAGGGAAAACCTCACCTGATACATCGATTTCGATGCCCAATTCCTGATAGGCCTGCGCCTCGCGCTCGACTTCGGAGAAGAGCAGGTAGACTTCCATCGGGATGTCGGGTTGTGGTGGCGGAGCATCGACGTCCTCATACTGAAAGAATTGTAGAGTTGACGATGCTGGTCTGCTAATGGGAATTTCTTTGGCATTATCGAGGGGGAGGGGACAAATTCTTTTGTATTAATCTAGAAATGCGTAGTAACTTCATCGGAATCTGTTCTACATAACGTTTGAGTAATAGACTGAAATTTTATCAAAAAGTTCAATTTTTGATCAAAGACGGCCCCGTTTGGGCCGAAAAAACGGGGTTTTTAATAAGCATACTTGTTAATAACAAACCGTAATGTTTTTGCGGTCAGGATTAGAAAAATGGCGTATAGAAACACTTTCAAATATTGATATTTAAAAATTGGTTCCTAAGGAAAAATTTCTCTTTCCCCCTGATAATGCGAAAGTACCAAAAATAAATTGCAAACCGGACCCGAAAAAACGAGATGCGCGGCGTCGCCATGACTTGGCTTCCCATTCTGACGAGTTCTCGCACTTTTTCGCCCCATACGCCTCTGATCTGCTGCTCAGCTGCGATGTAGAGTTGCTCCAAGCGCTGCACGAGCACGACAAACAGGTACTCCTGAAAAAGTGATTGTGCCCTGCGTGAAAAACAACCTCGCGCAAGAAGGACGTAAACACTTCGATCTCGGCCAGGTAGCAGAGGTGCACGGCAAGGAGTAGGTTCGCGTCGAGGCCTTGTTGACGATGAAGGCCGCTCCCCTGAAGCGCCGTATGAAGCTGAGTACCATGAAAGGGAAGCGATTGAAAGAGAGAAAAAAAGAGAGAAAGACTTTTTTAAATTCCCGAAAATTGAAACTTCAAAATTTCAGAATTTTTATCCTTTTCGGCATTTTTCCTACATTTCTGACCAAAAAGTCCAAAAAGTTCGAAAATTTTGATTATTCTTTGATATTGTTAAATTATTTTTAGATCTAAAAACTACGCCGAAATGCTATAAAACTGGATTATAGTATATTACAGGGCCGTCGAGAATCAAAGGCAAAAATTTGGTTGCCCCCTGCTAAAAATTGTCCAGAACCACATGAGATACATTCACAATTGAAATCCCAAATCACCTTTTGGATGATCTGCTCGAACAGCTGGTCAGTATAGCCCCGAAGCCCATCGCCGGAACACGGGGCACGGCGAATCGAATGATCGGCTTTTCTCCAGGCTCCAGGTGAAATGGAGATGCAAATTAGGCGATTCTAACACCGATGCAAATGGAACCACGCTCCCTCCTGGTTATAAAACCCTGCCGTCCATAGTATTTCCTCGTAATCACCTAGTAATCCCGGATCTGAAAACCTTCAAATCAATTGTTATTTGTTATTGTGGCTATTTTATTGTAAAGTTGACATTTTCGGCTGGAGCTTCTCGTCTGCCACATATTCAGACGGCATGGGGATCGTTATGCTGCATTTGTCTCAACCCTTCCGCAATGATATTGCGATATTTGGATTCCTCGCAAAATTCTGCATCTGGTAGATGGTCATATGGGCGGACAACACCAAAGAGGACCTCCAGTCTCGCCGTTTTCGTTGCAATACCGTACGCTTCGAGTTGTCTGCTCACTAAATCGTGCACCCTGACTCGAAGAAATGAGATGGAGCAATGATTTTACGATATGTGGATTTCTCGCAAAATTCTGCATCTGGTAGATGACCATATAGGCACACAACTCCAAAGAGGGCATCCAGTACCCCCAGTTTCGTTGGATCCAAACTCGTCCGGATTAATACTCCACATTCAGATCTTGCAAATCCCGAATTTTGGTTTATTTTAGTGCGTACAGGCGGTGGCATAGGCACGCTATCGCGGTTTTGTAACGTCAGCAGTCACGGCGCAACACCAGGCTTATCGGTGTGCTTTGCTCATGTTGCAGCAGATTTTCGATTTTCACGAAGGTGTTTAGGCGTTCACGGTTTGTAAAACGTCTACGTCGAGGTTTTGTGATGATGTGAATGGTGGATTTGATGCTTTCTCGACCTCAGCTGCGCTACCTCTGGGGTTTTTCGTGGCCATTCCTGTAAACAAGTGACAATAGGGCTCTCGCACAAATTTTCTGCGGTGCTTGCCGGGCAGGTGATAAGGGGGCTGAGCCGGCTTCACGGCGCTGCTTTTGGTCAATTGATTGGCAGAAAAGCAATCGGCTTTCGGCTACATCTCGAGCAACCAAAAACTAGGGTTTGGAATGGGAAAGAAAGACCTATTGGAAGCGATAATGCTTTTATGGAAGGCATTATCGGCGGCGCTGGTATTTTTATAACTTTGTAGCAATCAAAAACGCAGAAACAAAAACGTGCAAAGGA